GTTAAGTGAAAAAATATATATACTTTTCCGTTTCATGTTTCATGACTGTCATATTTATCCCTTAATCTTAAAGTGAAGCATCGGATATTTTTATTCTCGTGAAATCATATAGATACACGTAATATGAATGGAATGTATAACACTTCATTTGTGCTCATAATACTCAGAATTCATGCTTTATCGGTAACGTCGGGTATTGACACTAAAATGGTAATAGGGATACGTAGCCCTATGAACGTGGGACAGAAAAAAGCATTGGATGATAGGTCTATTCTATACCTAGTCGGTGATTCTCCGGTATGTTGTGTGTATGTAATATGATTTGTAGGTAACAACTATGTGCACTGTATCTGTTCAAGGATGAATGAACATATTCTGTTGTATACATATATCGTCTGTGCTTGCTTTGAGATTTACCTACCAGTTTGAGGTTGTTGCCACAGATGGCGCCACGAGGCAAAGAAACTGAAACAGAAATCGGTAAACAATATTCAAACCCGGACAATTTAAAACTTCTGTGAAGACAGCATTAATTTTTAGCATACTGCGGAGTTTAAAGACATAATTAAATATGAAATAGATCTCGAGGATATCACTGAGCTCTGTTCTAAGGGTCGCAAATAGATTGATTTTGCAGCAGTTTCGTTTCTGTCATAATCTCTTACATTAATGCTCAAAAAGCATAGATGAAAGTGCAGTATTTACCGATTGAAAATAATCATAAGAACGTAGTTAAATTCCCAAATTCTTAGTTTTTGATAGTTCAGTTCTTGGTTTGTAATTTTGTTGCATGTTCGAGGCGTTGCACGATGCACTATGTTATTCAAGTGGATAGAGGCCAGAAACATTTCTAAGTTCCATCTGTATCCATAACTTACTGAAATAGTCTATTGGAAGTCCAGTTGATTTCAAGATTTTCTGAACATTTTTCAAAACTTAATCCTGTCTAGAACTAGCCTTACAAACTAATGGAAATTTGGAACGAAATAGACTTCTAAAAAGAAAGGAAAACTAAGAAAAAGGAAGGGGATTTAATGCAATATTAAAAACATTAAAAATGTCATATTTTCCGAAAAAGTTTCTATCTAATGGGAGCAATTTTAGATTCAGAGGGAGCAAATTGGGAGCAATTTTTTAAGATATAAATTGTTAAGAAACACTAATATTCGGTGCCAACTATTCTCCGGTAATTCATACAGCTTGTCTATGCTTATATACTTTATGTAGCATTTTTTAACAGATTTCCATGAAATTTAATCAGATATTCATAGAGTATAGATGTTCATGCAAGTTCACGCTTTTATAGATTAATTTTACAAAAATATGATTTAAATAGTAATTAGTACCATTTATAGAAGATTTTATTCAGATCAGAATAAAAAAAGTACACAAAATTTTAATATAATTAGTTCTAAAATAATAAAACTACTTTATTGTGTTTTGCACCTTTACATTTATTATATATAAATGGGTAGAACTCGTAGTCTAGTTGTTCTGAATTTTGAACAATATTGTTACTAATTTTTTCGAGTGGTGCTCTCGATCACGTGATTGTAATCACATCCTGCAATAATCTATCATTTATGAAGTTTTCGCCATTAATTGTGTGCCCGTGCACCTACAAACGAATGTATTCCGCGTATTTCGGCGAAGTTATTTAATTATTGTCAAATTTAGAGCAATTAACTCTCATAAAGTCATGGTATCCGAATTATTTAATATTTATTAACTTAACATATTGAAAATACATTACAAGCCACATAAAATTTACTTACATGCGTGATACATGTTTCTTGCAGTACTTTAAAAATGTATATAACCTTCCTCTATTACTTTACGATTAATTAAATAAAGTACACCTTATTAGGACTGCAAATTACAGTTTCTGTTTAGCCTGTATTATACTATCGTGAATCTTGCCAAAAAGGCCCTCTTTTGTTAGAAGACAGTCCTAGACTGAACGGCGGACATGTAAGACCTATGTCACAGCCAGAGGCGACGTTTACTCTCTTTTAAAATCACACAAAATAGTTTGTATCTTTCTGTCACCAATCACCTCCGTTCTAGTTCCTGTCCTTTTTTTTTTAAATTTCCATTGTACAATCCGGTTTTCAAGTCCGTCCGTCCACGTGTCAGAATTTTGACACATCCGAAATTCCAACGGGTATGAGTATTCTCATTTGTGAAACGTTTCACTTTGGCTGTGTGAACAATCACACTCATTGATTGGATCTAATTAAGCATCCTTCAAGATAAAAATAGTAAAAAATCACTGCGTGAAGTCGATCCGAACCACTAACAACCTTTAAGAAACTCTAACCTCCTGGATAATTTGAAAATTCATGTGTTCTCAAGTATGTATTCTTCGTTTAGCAGGTTTTCTGATCAGTTACACATATTTATGGTATCGTCGAATGGCATATACGACCGTTCACGTTGACCTTAATTATATATAAATACTTCTGTAAAAACTTGACAGAAACACTTTTAAATCTCTTTTAAATAATTTTCACATTCAATATTTACTTTCATCTTTTATATACTTTATTTTCAACACTCTATAACTTTCGAACACTGGATACCAAACGCGGGCATCGAATGTTGAGTACTTTATGTAGTCCCGCAGGAAAGTCTTTGAAATGTATAGGGTGTTTCATTTAATTCCGTTCGTCTGCAGAACTAGAATATTTTCGAGTCACGCCACCTTTACCTATCTGGAACGGTTCCCTCAGACATTTGTCGTCGCGGATCCTCGGAAGAGATTTTGCGGGCCGGATAAAGGAAAATTTGATATGGATGTAGACTCAAACGACAGCAGCAGAGACACCGATATATGCGAGACGAATGCTCAGCGTTTGATTGCCGAGAGCGGTGGTCGATGTATGAGCACCCAAGCGATGCAGTCGCTTTATGACTTTCGACAGAATAATTTGCTCTGCGATGCTGTTCTGAGGCTGGAGGATGGAGGCGTTTTCCCGATCCATCGAGCAATTTTATCAGCATGCAGTCCCTACTTCAGGTCCACACTTTTCACAGCATCGTGTCCGTAGTCTTCTTATAGTCGTTCCTCGCAGTTGAAAAAAGGAAATAATTCCCCCGATGCTCCATAAATCGTGATTCTCGGTTTTAAGAATTTCTTGAAAGGGAATAATAATGTGTTCTGAATTCTCACAGTTAAAAGAATTGTACGTTTCCAGGACATTGTTCACAACTACGTTGCACTTCCGCGAGAAAACCGACGTTCTTCTGCCTGGTGTCAGCAGCAACATGATGAATCTTCTTCTAGAATACGCGTATCTGCGATCCATCAACGTGAACAATGAAAACGTCTGCCAGCTGTTGGTCACCGCGGATTATTTGAATATTCTCGGCGTATTGGAGCTCTGCTGCGAGTTTCTCAAACAGAATCTAGCGCCGGAGAATTGTATATCGGTGATGAGATTCGCACGGGAGCATTTCTGCACGGGACTGGAGAACAGCGCCTATCGTTACGTCATGAGACACTTCGTGCAGGTCATTTACGCTTTCGTGTTACTTCTCGTTATTTCACGACAGCTGTTCCCTGTCCCCTTGCGTCTTCAGTGATATGGACGTGGCAAAAGAAATACAATGACACGTTTCATTGGACGCAGGTAGCCCAGCGAAGTGAGGAAATTCTCGATTTACCGATCGAAGAGTTAATGACTTTGATAGGAGCCGATGAGCTGAACGTGAAAAGCGAGGACACGGTTTGGGAGCTGGTACTGAAGTGGATCAATTTCGATCCAGAGTCCCGGAAAGATTACATAGTCGATCTGATGAAGAATATCCGTCTTGGCTTATTGGACACGCAGTTCTTTCTCGAGAACGTAAAGGACCATCCGTATGTGACCGGGAACGACGCTTGCCGGCCAATCATCATCGAGACGTTGAAATTCTTGTACGATCTCGAGATCATTACACAGAAGGACGGGGAAGTGCCCACGCCGAAAATCGCGAGACCAAGAGTGCCTCACGAGATACTGTTCGCTATAGGAGGTTGGAGTGGCAGAACTGCTACGAATTTCATAGAAACGTACGACACCAGGGCGGATCGATGGGTAAAGGTGCGTATCGCCTAGTGTTTTTCATTAACCGGAAAATGAATCGAACGTGTTTACTCATTTTTCATTACCGTCGCGAAAGGTGCAAGAGGTGGATCCGAACGGCCCTCGATCGTACCACGGAACGGCGGTGGTTGGTTTCAATATCTATGTAATCGGCGGCTTCGACGGGGCGGATTATTTTAATAGCTGTCGTTGTTTCAACGCCGTCAATAAAGTTTGGAGAGAAGTTGCTCCGATGAACGCCAGAAGGTTGAGCACATTTATGTTTTTTCTACGGTTGATATCCTAGTACAGTAAAACCTGGATTATTACCCGAAAATTGGGACTGGAGTCCGGGTATGTACTATGTAATTGTAAGTAGAGGAATCGATTCTAAATACAGCATCAACGCCGAACATAGAAAAGGAGAGCGAGTGAAAAAGAAAGAGAGACTAAGCGTCGAGGCGACGACAAAGTTTACATGCTGCGTATCGATAAGGCAGCACTAATGCAAATATGCAAATTTTTTATTTTTGGTTTTATTTGAATAAAACATTTATTAACGTATTTATGAGATTTTTCTGATTCAAATGATACCAAACACGGTATAATTTGGATCATGTTTAGTTATTGGTCATTTATAGTACTTAATCCATATCAATAAATAAATATAATTCAAATTATAATAATAATATTTATTTTCACGGGACGAAGCCCATTAATTTACAGAAATATTACCTTATACAGGTGACAGGTCTAAAAAGATACATATGTAACGAGTATATCTGAATAATTAACCTACAATAATTCAAATTATGTCGAGTTTGGTCTTATTTTAATCAGAAAAATTTCACAAATACGCTAGTAAAAGTTTTATGAAAAAATAATAAGAAATAAAAAATTTGCATTACATGCAGTTTTTGGGCTTCCGCTTGGGAAGCTGACGGCGTGTTACATTTTATGCTTGGCTGGTCCAGGGGGAGGGCATATAAGGGAGGGCATGGGCGGGGCTGGTTGCGGTGCATTCCAAGCGTACCTGTTGCCAGCCCCTACGCTCGAGAGTTACAGGGGGGTTTTTAGGGGTGAAATCATCTATATATATATCTACATTGGCCGTCGCCGCCCCTAGCGGAGGCGGTGCATCTTCTCAAGGTTCTCCTCCCGTTAAAAAAAAAAGGGAGACTCTGCAGTGGTGAGGATGGACACCGGGTACTTGCGCCGTAGATTTAGAACTGCATAACTTCTGCTCCCGGAGTCGGTGCCCCACTCCGGGGATACCCCGACTACGTGGCTCAAGCTTTTTTTTTTCTTTTTCTACAGGGGGGGAAACCTTGGAAAGGTGCACCGCCTGGGGTTTCACCCACTAAAAACCCCTCGGTGACCCTCGGGCGTAGGGCTGGCAACGGGATCGCGCAGCATAACCGCGACCAGCGCCGCCCATTGCCCTCCCCTATAGGTATTTAAGGGAAGGACTCTTCTCTGGAGGGGTCGATTGCTCCCCCCCCCCCCCTCCCTACCCGGGACAGCTGCGATACCGTCCATCTACCTCCCACCTACAGCGCCGAGGAGCCACCTCTCGACGCTGTCTTCTCGTGGGCCGACTGCGAAAGAAGGTGGTACCCCCAGTACCACCTTCTCGGTCCGGATGCCCCGCGGGCGACGCGAGGTTCACCGTTGCTGTGACCCTATGAATCGTGCCACCCGAAGGACAAACGCGGCTCAAGCTGCCTCGTCAGCTAGATACGGAGCGTCGCATGCTACGACGCTGCGGACCGTACAGGGAAAGGTCTTCCCATCACACCACCAGCGATAAGACCTGTCCCCGTACGGGCCGTAGCGTCGTAACATGCGACGATCCGTAGGTAGCGCGCGAGGCAACCTGAGCCGCGTAGTAGGGGTACCTCCGGAGCGGAACACTGACTCTGGGAGCAGAAGTTATGCAGTTCTGGCCGTAGATCGTTTCCGGGTATTAATCCAGGTTTTATTGTACATACTGAATTCTACGGAAAGTTCGTAACGCCTTCGAGGGTAGAACTGAGGTCTGTGTAGAGTTTTCAATTTGTATTTCGTTTGTAATGTTTTCCCAGTTTTTTCGATAATTTCGGTACATCAATTACAACAATGTTTCTTTCCTTTTGCTTCCTGATGCAGAAATACATATCTCAGCGATCTAAATGTATGATTATCTTACAGGGGAATTTTTGGTAGACGCTGTAAAATTTTCCAGTTAACATAGCGTGATTTCTTTTACGCGTTTAATATAACGTGACAAAAATGAGCGTTTGTACCTCTTCATTGCATTTCCCATGAAAAAAAAAAATCAACAAGTAATGTAATTAAGACCCGAAACGCTGCAGACTTTCCGAACGATCGAATGTTTCTATTAAGTCATGGCAATAGTCTTGATACCTTTTTGCAATATGCACGTTTAAGTGTCCTGCAACGAAATATTGCGTGGAAAGTTGTGTAGTAATTTCATCGTTTTTAGTATTAAGAAAATTTCCATTAAGACTTTCATAACGATTCAATATTAACAGAAAGACCACCCGAATCTTAGGTGTTACGTAAGCGTCGCTGTACTAAACGATCTCATTTATGCGATGGGAGGTTACGATGGATATTATCGTCAAAGTACTGCGGAACGATACAATTACAAGACGAATCAATGGTCTCTGATAGCGCCCATGAATTGCCAGAGATCCGATGCCAGTGCGACCACTTTAAATGGTATATCACATTTCGTACTTTGTTTCTAGCCAATTCCATCAAATCTAGATAACTTTTTAAAATTATATTCAAATCGTATTTATAAACTATAATTTAAAGGTTGCGTTAGCCGGTTGGCACCACCAAATGCCAACCAGGGTGATTTTGTGTTTTTTCTAACTGCAACTTAATCGGTGTTAACAATGACAGTTTTTATTATTCTTCTCGTTGATAATACGGAACAAATGTAAATCTTTTATGATACAGACAAAATTTATATTACGGGCGGCTTCAACGGTCACGAGTGCTTAAATTCTGCCGAAGTGTACGACCCAAAGTTCAATCAGTGGACATTGATAGCTCCGATGAGATCGCGCAGGAGCGGAGTCTCTTGCATTGCCTATCACAACCACGTATACGTAATTGGTAAAGTTCGATTTTTTGTTTCAAGCGAAGTAACCACGTGATCCCTATTCACCAATTAAAATTCGGTACAGTTGAACGAATCACTTTTTGCGTGTAGGGGGTTTCAACGGGATATCCAGAATGTGTAACGGTGAAAAATACAATCCTGCCACGGACATCTGGAGCCCGATCCCGGATATGTATCATTCGCGCAGTAATTTCGCGATTGAAGTGATCGACGACATGATATTTGCAATCGGAGGATTCAACGGTGTTACTACTATTTACCACGTGGAATGTTACGACGAAAAGACAAATGAATGGTAAAACTGAACCCGCCTCCCATGTTTAATGTCACTTTTTTAGTTTCTTAATCACATTAGGCTTGTCGTAGAATTCTGTGACTTTCTTCTGATTTACAAAATCTACCATGAATAAAACATGTAGTCTCTTATAATTAGATTGCTGATATTTATGTAAATTCATACTTCTACTCGTTGATTCATAAAAATGAATTTTAAAATAGAAATGCATTTCTTGTTTTAGGGATTCGATTACGTTAATAGTAACATGTACACTACTGGAGAAAATGATTGCATCACTTGTGCATTAGTGAAAAATTGTCGAACTTCAATATTCTATAACTTTGTTTTAGACAATATTTCACTAGTGTACAAGTGATGCATTAATTTTCGCCAGTAATGTAGAATTATTGAACTATATTAATGTTTTCATTTTATCGCGTTTAGCAGGTTTCAAAGTGCCATAGATGCATCCACCTATGCAGTCTAGTTACGACTCTTGAGTAGTTATGAACTCTAGTTATGAAACTACACGTTTTTAATTATAATTTTCTGATCTCGATTATTAAAATTATTGGCCGTACCAATGAGTTTATCGTACGAGTTTGCATACACACATACTTTCTGTAGGTACGAAGCGACAGACATGAACGTTTATCGCTCAGCACTGTCGGCCTGCGTGATCATGGGTCTGCCAAACGTGAACGATTATATTCATAAACACCGCGAACGTCTGATGGAAGAAAAGCGACAGAAATTGTTGGCGTTGGAAGTACACCGTAGTCAACATCAACAGGATCAGGCGCAACAGAATCGTGAAAATTTGCTGGCTAACGAGATTATACCAGACCCGCCCCCGTTGCCCCAAAACAGCGACTCGAACAACGAAAATCGGCAAAATTGACGGCGCGGGGCAGATAATTATGGAAAAATAACTTTGAGACTAGAGGCTTCATGGCCAGTCGGATGGACGATACCTGGAACAAAGGAAGAAAAAAAAACGTGTGTTGAAAGTGATTAATTAACTTGCGGTTACATTGAAAGGAAATGTTAGTACAGTTGGAAGACTTGGTGTATGGTGTATTCTCGAGTCGCGGAGGATGCCTGTTGATTAAAAAAAATTCAACGTGCCCGATTGGGTGATTAAGAGTAACTTTTTCACTTACCAGGGAAAGAAAATGATGTTTTGGTGGCTAGGAATATCTGTACACTTTCAATGTAGTCGTAATTCTTTTCGAGCTTTTAAGGCTCGAAATTGTAGAAAAGAGAGGACGTGACGACAACAGAAGGTTCTTCAATTATGGAGAAGTATTTTTTGGTATCAGTCCGAATGCAATAGAAGAATACCATATAGCACAATGGAACACTCCGTAATGCGACCTTTAGAAAATATTTCCGGATTTCTATATTATATTTACTCGAATTTGTTAAATAGACCATGTTTTCCTTTTATACGAGAAATATTTATACTGACTATTTTTACGACACAATTTTATACGACCTTTATCGGATTTACGACTTTACACTATGTGAATCAATTTTAAACGCTACTTATAATAAAAGAAAAAAAAACGAAACGAAATTCAATTTGAAATGTGGATTGACGCCGTTAGTAATTCTGACAATGATAAATGTACGCGAGGACGTTTGAAAGTTTACAAACACGGCTGAAGTGAAACCGTACTTACAGTTGTTAATAAAATATAAAAATATTGTGAAATGCTGTATTCAATTTATCGTACACGTTCTTTCTGTAAAAATATTCAAAAGCAGTTTGTCATTCAGAATTAGAAAACGAGACCCCAAATTCTTGTACTTTAAATACGCTGTTCTTCCTTATAATGATAACAGATGCTTTTTAGTTTTCCGATTTGCATTGTATACTGTAAATGAAATTTCTTTGTATCAGATGGAACAGATGTTTGTAAATTATATTGTTTAAAATTAAACAGTAAATCTTAATACTATTTAATTCCTAAAATTAGTCTCTATAACAAACTTGATAAAAACTTCAAATTTCCTCATTTATATTTATTCCATCGTCTAATTTGTTTAATGAAAAAGGATAATTCTCTTTGTAAACGTAGTGTCACTGTTTTATTAATGTATATTTTATTGCACTTGTAATCAAGGAAAGGTGATTATAAATGTTGACTATAAATCATAAATACATTTGACCGCTATATATCACTGGAAAGAATAATTACCACTGTATATCTGGAAAGATTTTTTACACAAATTAGTGGGTTATCAATGCAACTTTTATTATTGGTCAGTTCAAGCCAATCGGGGAATATTTTTATTGGTATTTAGATGCGCATGATTTTTCGTTGGCTAGCCTGGATCGGACTGTGAAACGTGTATCGTCAGAAATACATTTGACAATGAACGGTAGTAGATAAGTGGGATTGCTAAATAATTGTCGTACGTGTAATTAACTTTAAAAAAACTTCGATGAACAATATATTAAGTCAAACAGTGGAGGAATGTCGAAGTAAGACTCCAAATGAAAAATGGCAAAGATCGTGAAAGGATCTGACTCGTTGGCCACGATTTTGATATGCGAATACTGCGCTAACCTTACGTTCAAGCAAATAGAAGATTTTATAAGGTGGGCCGGTTTATTAAATTTATATTTCTACTGCGAAATTATTTTTATTTTTGACCTATGCATTTCTTACTTAATTTGCTCTATTGTATTTACGTCAAGTATAGTTATCATGACCATATCGTTATGATGATATAAGCATTAAAGTAAAATCATTTTGTTGAATGATATTAAAACAATATTCAATAACATTGGATAGAATAACTGACTTCATCTAATTTTATTTCAGACACCTGAGAGATCAGCATTGCTCTAGAGAAGGAGGATCTTTTGTGTGTCTTTATGGTTATAATGGAGTATGCACTAGTCTTCCAGTGGAGGGTGTTTCTGACAAAGATTACATAGCACATGCTACCAAGCACGCAACAATGCAACAGCAACGTAAGAGCAATGGCCAATTGTCAGAGCCATCTTCATCATGGACTGTATATTCTGCTGCACAGAACTTACCAGCTGTTTTAAATGACCCGTTCAAAGGAAAGCAAAGTAATTTTTTAACTCGTACATGGGGAGATGGATTTATAGAAAAAGTTGATATACCAAAAAGTCCTTACCTTCCTGAAGTTACTATGCAGCATTTTGAATCGTATTTAAAGAAGATTGCCAGGGTAATTTATATGTTTCTTGAGTTAAATATTTTGACCTCATAAAAAGGAGTTGTTTTAATAAATTATTTGTTTATAGAGATACAGAAAACATTCTCGTATGAATTCAAATACCAATAGACCAACTACGCCTAATGAATTATTGCAAAATTTTCCAAACTTAAGAAAAGTTAAGTCACTAGGTGAGAATAACAATTGTATGATTTAAAGTGTTATCCTTATAGTATTATATAGAATGTTTACATTAAATAGATAATGTTTGTTTGTATAGATCGAGTGCAATTTGATTTAACTAGTATTCCAAAAATTTTTTTAACACCTAACCTGGATCTTTCTCAGAAAGATAACTTGTATGCTGTATTTCCATTTGCAAAAAATGGATTGTTAAATGAGGACTCTAATATTGTCATGCATGTAAAACAAATGCAAGAAAAGGTATACTTATAAATAAATATGTTGTACAAGTTTTAAAAGAAAAGATAAGTGATATTCAAATTTATGTTTTTGATAGTTAAGTCACTATTTAGATGTTGTGGAAGTTAGAATAGCAGAACAGGTTGCTTCAAAATCTCAAGCATTTTTTCATGCTATGACTTCTCATGATGCCTTAATGGAGCAACTTACACAAACTATCACTGTTCTCAAAGCTCTTAGGAAAAATATACACCAAGTTGATACACATCTAGTCAATGATTCCTTAGAAATATTAAGGTAATTCGTCAAACTGTATTTAATAATGTTAATATTCAACATGTATTATATTCTGGTTCTTTCTGTTTTTAGATTAGAGCAAGCAAGATCTAATCGAATGTTAGTTCAAGAAAAATTAAAGCTTATGGCTACAGTTCATCAAAGTCAACCAATGATACAATTACTTTTGTCCACCCCAGATTATGTTGCCGCATTGGATCTTATTTCTACAACGCAAGAGATACTTTTGCAAGAGTTAAATGGAGTGCATAGTTTTAGGTATATTGATGTAAATCATACAAATTTGTACTAATTGTAAGAATTGATATGGAATTTCAATCATCATGGTATTCATCTTTGCTTATGATTTTAGACATCTGAGTTCTCAGTTAACAGAAATGGAGAAACTGGTAGATAAAATGTTGTCTACAGAATTCCAAAGATATGCGACCGCAGATCTAAACAGACCATTAGGCGGTGAAAACAATGTTCTGGATGGTGTAAGTATGGATACAATCTTTGGAACTCTATACTTAGTTCGTAGCAAGCAAACCGTCATCCATCTCTTCCCAGTGAGATCATTTGTGCATCCTCAACGAACAGGATAAACTTGTTTCCATCATTTCTGGTCTTCTGCGGCAAAAGCATTTTCAATTTGTGGATACTTACAAAGAAGAAGCCGTAACCACAGTCAGAGCTGTAACTAAGCAGAGGGTCATAGAGGCTTTAGCAGAGAGCGACTGTTGCAGTGATCAACAAGCAGCTGCTTTGGAAGTTGGTGGGCTTTCCCTAGCAGAGAGGTTAACACTTCTTCATAACACAATACAATCTTTGACATTTCTTCTCATACGTGTAAAGGTATTTACCACATCACACAGTTGATCATAAATACTAAGTATTTATGTATGTCAGTATTTTATTTATAGGTTACATTACATTTTATAGGCTGTTCATGATGTCATGCGAGACACAGTAGATCTTGCAGCTGGCCGAGTCTGTGATGGTTCATTCGATGATACCATACCCGATCGATTACTAACTCGAGCAGAGAATTCGCGAGTAACGACCAAACTCAATGATATGATAACTTCGGTTTGTGATTATTGTCATGAACGAATGGGAAATCTGCTTTCTGCAGGTGCGAGTGATAAAGATAAGTCTCAAAACGATAAAGAGAAAACGAATAGCGAGAACACGAATAATAAGCAAGAAGAAAAAGATTGCCAAAATTGGAACGACAAGTCCTCCTGGTTGAGTAAACGGGCAACCTCGGCCCAAGTATGTCAGTTAGCCAATTTGGTCGAGGAATTCACAGAAACGTGTGAGAAACTTTGTGGCAAGCAGTGTACAGCATTGCGATCTGCATTTAAGGTATAATACCAGCACCAAAAGACACTTTTGTCTATTTAAATCACAGTGGTTATTTAACATTTTATCATATCATAGGCACAAGCTAGCAAGTTCATTCAAAGATTTCATACAGAGCTTAAAACAAAACTTACGCTTTTGTTGGAGTCTGAAAGGTGGAAACAGGCTGATGTACCATCCGAATTTCAATCCTTAGTAACTTACGTGTACGAAAACAAAAATTTTCCAGCTAATCAATTTAAGCATGAAGACAGAACGAAAGATGACATTATTCAAAATTTTATTATGGTAGGAGATGAGAAGTACGCCGTTGTTGGCACGGCATTGATGCTCATACAAATGATTCATGAGTATTGCAGGTAATTGTTGAATTTAAAAAAATTAGTGAACTACTGAGGAACACTGAATTTGTAATTCTAGGACCGGTAGTGAATTGATTGCACTGTCTGGAACAATTGGGAGGCACTTGGCTGAGTTGTTACGACATTATAATTCACGTTGCTGTCAACTTGTACTCGGCGCTGGCGCGATGCAAGTTGCTGGCTTGAAAACAATTACAAGCACGATATTGGTATTAGCTGCGCGTAGCTTGAAGCTAATTTTGTGGATCATGCCTTTTGTAAAGCTGCACTTTCAATGTAAGCAAAATCCATCGTATAAATTTCCTTTTTAACAATGTTCGTAAAATCAATGTTGCAATCTGTGTGCAGCGTTGGCGGAGCAAAATCCTAGTCGTGGATTTGGTTCCTCTAATATAAGTGGCGGTGTTGCTTTATTGGATAGCGTTGAAAGGGACATTCGCGCACATGTGAAGGAAATTGAAGGCAAGATTCTTACTATTGTCGATAATTTGCTGGGTGGTCAAATATCAAAGTGGACCGCAAGACCTCCAGTACCATCGATTTCATTTAGAAACATTTCTAAGTAAGTATATTGAATATTGGCTGTTGATATACAGGACGATTCATTTATATAGAGTTGCATTTAATTCTTTTGGTACGACCGTCGACTATAGTCGATTGACACCAAACGTTCATATGGCGACAGTTCGCGCTCGGTGACTGTTTCAAACCAAAGATGCATTTCTGTTGCACAATTCGCAGATGTAAATTTTGTTTACAAATCGATAATATCTTCTTTACGTTTGTATTGCAAAAATATAAGCAGTTCGTTTGTACTTTGCACGTGACACTTTAAATTTTTGACCACTGAGTGGTTAATACTCTGCAGCTGAGCCTCGCCGTACTAAAAGAATTATGAAATCAAGGTGTAATTTAGTAATTTCTTTTACCTTAATACCGTTTTGTTCAGATTTCAATTTCTTTTACAAGCTTCTATAAATAATATGAACAAATATTAGTTGATAACTTACACGAAATTCGATATTGTCGAATCAGACGAATCATCTCGAACGCATAGATTTATGAGATTAATTATTTCTTACAGCTACTTAATGAAGTTGCATGAAGCTGTTTCCGGAATTTTGCCGGCAGTTGAAGTACAAATCTTGTATCGTACAGTAAACACATCTTTCAAAGAAAAGCTCACAGAACAGTTAGTCAAAATGAATATAGTGAACAACGGTGGTCCACAACACGGCATAGTCACATCCGAACTTACTTTTTATCTCGAGGCATTACGAAAATTGAAGGTATTGCCTACTAACGAGTTGGATGACGACTGGATGACTGACATATGGACTAGATAACATGCAGAGCGTGTGATATATTGCATAATAAAGGCGATGAAGTATTGCCGAAAGAGGTGACTAATTTTTCTTATCGTCTTCCTTCGCTGGCATCATGATAGTCCCGACGACTATTAACGTTTCGATAGATTTTTAAGATACGGTAACTTGTACCGTGATCATCCATAGAAATATTAACAGTTATTTTATTTGTAAGGTTCTATGGATTATAGTGCCGTTTTAATATAATGGTAAGGGGAACCTACGGTACATATAGCATTTTTATAAAATGCTGCATTCAATATTTCTGAAAATATATGTAAATAGGAAGCTAAAGGATTGTTTAAAGGGAATGTAATATTACTTATACCGGTTGTTGGCTACGTTTTAATACAAATTATAAATTAGTTTGATTACTCGTGTCTTACGTCTCCTAAAAACAATCTTCTACGGCATAGTGTTGAAGTGCAAACTTTAATATGATAAATATGAACGAGTCTAACAAAGAATTATGCGCATCACAGAAAATTATTTTTTTCCATATGTAGAATATTATAAGAGCTTATTTGCAGTTGAATATTATCTATGATACGGGATGTTTCGCACTATCGTATGTAAAAATCGTTTGATTTAGCATTACTTATGCGAAAATAGGGATGCGGTAGAAGGACCAAAATTCAAGTACTAAATTATTATTCTTTGTATAGGTGTACATATATATGGTATGTATCTTCTACTAATTGAAATTAAAATGTTTTTGGAGGCAATCAATAATAGAAAACCTTGAATTATCATACGACTGCTTTTATTGCTGTGTTCATTGCTTCACTTGGACTGATTAGGAAGAATGTATCAGTAAAATAAATCTGATAACGATCAGTTAAACATTTTTATATATGGTGTATTACTTGCATCAATCTGTTTCTATCGACAGATTGTTAAAACTAATTTTTTAATAGTAAACAAGGCTTACAATTGAATTATTACTGAGGTTGGGGTTTTTTATCAAAGTTTTTGAACTAATCGGAGAAAAATGTTTGGGTGTATTAATACCCAACATAATAGGATTACCTCTAGAAGACGTAAACCAGCTATAACTCGATTCAATACTACATCACATGCCCAGTCAACCAAACTTGCCAAGCCAAATTTTGTTCAATGCCTGTTATAAAGTTATGGTTACAAGTTTGATACAAGATCTGCTATAAACACCTTGCGCGCACATTGGCAGCAACATAGGCAGCAAATTGACAGTAACATATGCAGCGAATTGGCTTGCGCAAACTTTGTATCGGTTTTGTCCTCAATTTGACATAGATCTTGTTGCAAGACTTTCTGCCAATTTGCTTTACTATTTTGATAGCTAGCGTTGCCTACAAAACCGTAGGCAAATGCGGAAATAGATGGTTATGGTTTTTTAGACAACATTTGTACCTTATTGCTGGCAACTTGCTCGGAACTTGTACACAACTGGTTATTAGGGTGCGTTTACTTGTACTTGAAAATAACAATTCTGACATCTAATGATTGTATCATATAACTGATTGTAAAATGTTTTTCTTCATCCTCATGACCAAAGATAAAGGTATTGATTGTTATTATTATTATCCTGCATCACATTGTCTATATGTAGTCTCAGAATTTTCATTCGTTTTTACGATATTTATAATTTATTATCAACTGCTAATTCTACAGTGCATTCCATTGTCGACTTATTGTTAGTCTACATTCTACATAGTTTATTTTGTACGTACGAATATGTAACAAACAGTAACCGGTTGTATTTCAATTCATAGTTAATTTATTAATAAAAAAAAGTACTATGCGTTATGATCCAGCAAAGACGTACCGTTACATTTTAATTATTTGCAGCTAATTTCAACGTAAAAAATTATGCAGTTTATCATTGTTATACATTCTGGCGAATTTTTTGTGAAGACCCATGGTGTCTTGTTGAATCATTACGCGTTTCATCTAGAATCTAGAGGTATAGAAATATAACAACCTATATAGATATAACATACCTCATTAATTCATTGCAAAATGTATTATAAAAATGATATAAAAATTAATAACAATGCTATAAAAAACTGTCTTATATTTTGTATTTATTTATGGAGTAAATACAAATTGCATTTGACTGAAATAATTAGCTACATAGATAAGTAAATCGAGTATTATTGCTATAGCAACGAATAGGGAAACACTGTCATAACCTATGTAGAAAAGAAAACGTGTGTTCTGTCGTGCATATTATATTTGTTTAAAAACAGTACAGTGAAACATAATGACAGACAAGAATTCGTATGTATTTACTTATATATACTTTCATCGATAATACTGTGTTTCTGATATATAAAATTAAAAGTGTGCTGTTAAAGTCCTAGCAGGTGGTTGATATTACGTGTAATAATGAATTGGACCCTTTTTTTCTACGCTTACAATTATCTTTCAGCGACGAAAATGCAAGAGACGCAGCATTGCGCCTTTGTTTAGAAGAAGAAGAACGTCGTAAGATTGATCCACATGAAACACGCGAACGTTCCATCATCGTTGTCGGTTCAAAGAGGGTTGTACGTAATGATAATACAGTTAGAAAAATTAAATAAAATTCCTAAAGAAGTATTGTATATTTTAAAAATATTCTGAAAAAGAATCATCATTAATGCTTAGGGTAAAACGACGATGACATATCGATTTCTTGAGAAAGAAGAAACACCGAAGCCAACCATCGCGATCGATTATTCTTTCGGCCGTAAAGCCGGGAAGAGTTTAGTAAGTCTTCTTTTTTTACTACGGTTTTATAATCACGTCTCAATTAAATAGTTCTTCGGTACCAAATTTACATATTATACTTCTCAAGCAACTTTACTCACAACAGTAACGTAAAGAAGATTACAAAATCTAATTTATGAAGTATTAGTAGAATAATTGGTAAACGACGAAATAATAGTTAGTGATTGACATTTTCACTTTTTCTTTTGCTGGGTAGGTAAAAAATATCGTACACGTTTGGGAAGTGGGTAATTTAACGTCCTCGTTAGTATCCGCCGCCATGGCAGGTTCATCTTTGACTCATTCGGTCCATCATCTCACGATATTGATGATGCTGGATTTATCGCAGCCGGAAATTCTATGGTCCTCGTTCGAAGAAACCCTTACGGTTATTCGAAACGCGATGAAGATGAGTTACGATGATAAAATGATTCAGGAACTTAAACACCGTCGAATCAAGGAACGAAAGAGCACGCTGGAAAAGGAAGTCGATCTATTTCCGATAAAACTTTGCATTGTAGGAGGGAAATACGATCAGTTTAAGGTATCGCTGTGATTTTCGCTTAAAAGTATTTCAATTCCCAACAAAATACGAACTCCGTTAATTCTACGATAGGATCTAGATCTGGATAAAAAGAAATTAATCGGAAAAACTTTAAGAGCTATCGCTCATATCTTGGGAGCAGGTCTCTTTTATCATTCATCGAAAGATAAAACTTTAGTGCGGAGAACCAAAGACGTACTATCTCATTGGGGATTTGGCACTTCACTTTCGTGAGTTTTTCTCAAATATTGTGTCGCTCGAAATGTTTTTTAAATAAGGCTTTTAAATTGTAATCAGACTTTTTATTCTCGACGAAATTCCAGTTGCGCGAAATGCACAGATTTCGAGAAGCCATTAGCGGTGCCAGCCGGCACAGATTCATTCTCCTCGATCGATTTGCAATTTCCTCAGGCGAGACCTGCGGCCATTTTAGATACCATCAAACAGATTTATATTACTCGTATCCCACAAGTGTCTAGAAGCAACGATATTACCTTGGAGGATCCAAGCAACGATCCTAACTTTAATGAGCCAATCATCGACAGATTACGAGATCAGCGAGAAGAGGTACAGTTGTTAGTTTCACTTATATCTTCTAACGGGATAGAGTAAGTTTAATATTTCAAAATTGCTTCTGCCCACAGTTTCTCGTTCGATATCTTTAATTTATTACATATTTTCTTTCCATGATTCGCTTGTAGGAAATTGGTATTCTTCTGCACGATATGTTGGAAGGACGGACGCTTCAAATTCCCATTCCGGATCCCTCATAGATTACGATTAGATAACATTATTTCACTAACTGAATTTACCGTGAATTCTTCTCAGGTGGTTGATACCGCCGGGATCAGAAGAATCTTCTAAGTGGAAAGTAATTACATACATGTATACGAACTAATCATATTGTAAAGATCGGAAAAACTGTAAGGAACCTGTGCGTAATGAATTAAAAAAATATTTTCCATAAGATAGTACACATTGTGTTCCATGGAACCCTTCCTCTTTTGTAATTCGAACTCCTTATGTCAGAAGAGGCGCGTTATTGCTTGCAATGGTAACAATGATAAGAACCTCAGTGATAAAATTTTTTTATCGAAAGCCAAGAAGAATTATGTCATACGATACAGTCGCGTATAATTCAGCGCGTGTTGGTACGGCCATGTTTATATTGAAAACTATTATATTATATCACTTTCTGATTATTCGACGTTTCCTTCGGCTTCACTGATACATTTCCAGACAAAACATTCTACCCGAAATCAAAGAGAACGAACATTACAAAACTTGTCGATAACGTGACCTTCCCGATTATTCAAAATTATTCCCTCGCTGTATCGAATCGTCTGCAAACAATTTCACGACAATAATATTTATCGTGTTACTTACATAAACACCGACATGCCATCATATTTTTTCCCTTATCGAAACTGCTATCGGCCATGTATCTCTATCGAAATTGAAAAAAAAATATAAACAAATCCTGCGAATCTTCAGAACACTAACCATGGGAATTTCTGCTTTATCGAAACTATGGAGTTTTGGTAAGGATATATGATCTTCTAGGTCCTAGATGATCATTGAAAATTATGTCCGGGGCTACCCGCCATTTTTTGATTGTGTAAAACAGACTAGAGTTCATGGATTTTTTCGAAAATTATTTAAGAAATGTTCTATTTTTTTTTATTTATAATGATTCAGGAAGTTCTTATGTTTATTTCCAGGAAGCGTAATTTGATTACAATATATCGATTACATATTGTTGTTGTTTCCTTTAAATGCCCGGGGCTACCAACTAAAGATGGAGAAATATCGATAGTCATAATCAAGTTACCGATAGTTTGATACTCAAGCATCGTTTATTACCGATTACTTCCGGTAATTCAAATTATAAAATGGTGGTTTATTAAAAGAAATCGTTGAAGTTCTTAAAAGTGCAATAGTTTTATTGATTTTGTTCGTTTTGAAGAAATTCTACGGAAAGATGGGAAATCATAATTTTTAATATTATATTTATAAGAAATGTGAATTATAAATATTTACAGTACATAGTTTGATCACTGACTTTGATTTAGAAAAACAAGCATGTTGACGTTTTTTGCTTTAATTCTTGATCCTCTGCCCGATATTATTTGTTCAGTTGTACTAAAAGTCCTTTCAGATTCTATAAGAAGTTCCTGGTATAGATAAATATTATATACATAGTTCTGGTAAAGGGCTCAACTCCTCATTTATAAAATAGAAGTTAATCTGTGTCTTCTAACGAATTATATCTTTTCAAAAGTTGTCTTTTTCGTACAATAATAAGAAAAGTGACTTTTCTTGGTTACGAAAAGTTGTCGCTGTTGATTTATTTTGATTATGATTTAACGTATTAATCAAAGCATACATTTCTTTTTCAAGCAATAGTACTCCTTGACGAAACAAAAATATCGAAATTATCGATAATCATAAAACATACATCCATAGTTTACAATAGCGAAAACTATCGATAATAATCGATATGCTACTGATATTTCTCCATCTCTACTACCTACTCTTCTCCTATCAACAGATGTTCGCGATCGAATGATCGAGCACGCCCCGATCTTATAGCCGATAGCCCATCCTGTTCAGTAATTTCAAAGTTTTCCATTGACCAGCACCCGCTGTATATCACGGGTAGGGATAAACCGATATCGTTATGGTATCGATACTTTTACTCATAACTTCTATGAAAGAAAAATATAGATATCTACTTAGTATCGCATAAAAAGTATCGATACCTACTTGTATCGAAGGAAAGTGAATACAAAGTTTTTTTTTATTAATGTAGTATGTAGTAACCGGGTCATCCTAAGTTTTAAACAGTCAATGAGATTAAATAATTGTTTCCTAAATGTCGACGTATTCAGGAAGAAGCATTATTTTGTTATAAAAATTGTAACTTCCATGTTTAAACGATTAAAAATGACGAAGTACTTTTTTTTATCTTTTACTCCTTATTCGATACTCTTTATTTAGATAAAATGAATTTGCCTATCTCTGATTTTAACGAAGATATATTGAATGAAATATTTATAAATAAACATTTATTAACGGAGACATATTTTATTAACGAACATTCATTAACAAAGCAATATAACTGGACGACAACCACCACCTTCACATCCATTAGCTGCCATATCGATTACACGGACCATTCGATATGAATACTCTCTTTCGATACCGAGTATATATCGCAATCGAAAGTATCGATACAGAAGTGTCGATTATTTACTTGTATTTACTTGAATCGGTTCATCCCTAATCACGGGGGCGGTTTCGTGACGTATCCCCCAAGTGCTGATTGCACAAGCGATCGCGCAGGCGTTTCATCGGCGATCCTTCTAACTGTTTCTAACTACGAAAGGGGCCCAGATGGAGCGGTGTGCGCGCGGCTTTCCGTGACCACCTGGCAGGCGAACACGGTGACGCTTGCGCGTTACGTGGCGTCGCGCTTGCGCCCGAGAGACCCGTGCGGTCGGTCGCTCCCGATACGCGGATAGTCGGAGTCGAGCGTTTACGAAAACGAGATCCCGGCTGGGGGGTTTTCGCTTGGTTGCGGGCCTCTCGCTTTCTGGCCTCGGTTTTCCTTCAGTGAAAAATGCCGCTGTGATAGAGAGGCACCGCGGTCGTGCCGTGTGCTCTCTCTTTCTCTATCAATATATCTCTTTCTGGTGGGCTTGTCGCGCCGCGGCCCAGCATAGAGAGCCGTCGTCAACTGTCCACGCGAATTTTCGCCACGATACTGTTCCGCGGCTCCTTTTCGTTATCGCTACTCCACGTTCGTCGTTCCCTTCTCCCCCCACACCGCCCCTCATTACCGACCGTTCCTCCCGTCTCGCTCTTCCCTGTCTTTGCTCGTACTGTTTCGTCTCTTCTATCTCGCCCAATGAAGTGATCACCCCGTCGCGGTCTTCCCCACACGAGAAGAACCGACACGTCTGCGATACACCGGAAATCCGAGCCCGCCGTGAGATTTCGTAATCATCCCTCTTAAACGGAGCCTGCGCCCGCTGGCAAATCGAATATAGGTGAGTGGAAAATCAAAAAAATCATTGACAGATTCACGATTTCCTACCGTGTGGACCTGCTCCACGGTGTTCACCTGTCGCGCTGCGATCGAATCGTTGAAACTACGATCGGGACAACACGCTCTGGGGCTAAACGTGTGTGCAACATTGTGTGTATATCGCAATGGATCACACGGGAGCGCCCCCCCCCCCTCTTTTCCCTCCCCATCCTGCGGGCTGCTTCTCGCGGTTGGTTATCGATTCCGGTGTGAACGCGCCCTCCCTTGGACGGACAGTTATCCTGGTCGTCCTTCTTATGCGCATCTTTGTCGAGGGATCGAGTTCTTTGAATGATCAATATCGGCCCGCGTAAACACACACGTTTTGTCATTTCGCGGAGGTGTGGGAGGTGGCCGAGTGGGGAGGAGTGAGAGTGGGTGGGGGCTCCCCCGTCCTTCGGTGAACGCGTGCCCCACGACTGTGCGCGCTGTTGTGATCCTTATCGCCGCCAACCGAGCAAAAGGTAACGAGCAACGCGTAGAAATTATGCGAAAACGACGACCGACGGGCAGGATCGATTCCCGGTTAAATTGGAAATGTCTGGTTTGACGTTCAACTAGGGTCGATACGCACGACCGTTCGGGTCTGTTTGTGTAGAGATCGGTGAGCATTGTTTAATGGAGGGTTACCGATGACTTGTCATATCCGGTGATGATTTATTCCAGTGGTTCTTAACCAGCGTTTCGCGAACTTACAAGTGTTCCGCGAAATTATGAAAGCGGCATGTGCTATGCTTGAATCTTAATCAATGATTGAATATTTAATGAAAGTGTGCTCGTGCATAATTTTATTGTTAGTTTTACTGCCCTAGTGATTCCGGTGGTCCATAAATTTCCCTTATAATCAAAAGTGTTTCGTGACTTCGAAAAGGTTAAGAGAACCACTGGTTGATTTGAATGAAATGGACTGTTTTTAATTGAATTGCTTCGATTTCTGACGGTAGAACGCGCGCGCGTTTCAAGCTATCGCGGACTTGATTCGAGTGTATCAGGGGAATTTAGATCTAAGTAGCCTTATTGGATTTCTTATGTCTTTGGTGTGTTAATGATTCTGCTCGACTTGGAAACGTTTTGTGGCGGACGAGTCTTTATGATTTGGACAGCAGATTTTACTGCGTGCCTATCACTTTGTACTATAATTAGTAGCTCAGCAGAGTGGGCTTTCGAAAGGCTTTTAAAGTATCGATTACCAATACACGCGAATAGTAAGAGAGCTTTGGATACATTTAAATATCTTTTTTTAGTTCGTGCTCGTTGCTTTTCGCCGTGTTGGACTCTCATCGTCTTGTTCGCCTTGATGTTCACCGTGACTTCGTTTAAAAAAAAGAAACCTTCACTCACAATCGTGACACGGCGATTACAAACCGTAAATTTATGGTTGAAACTCATAATTAATCGTTTGCGTTTCGCTCTGTGGAGATTAGTCGTTATGTGTTTTTCTGTGCCTCGTGTATCTTATGCTGCAAGAGTCTTACGATCCTGCGTCCTTCGCTTTCACTTGAAAAAAATAATGACCGAAAGGATGTGCCCGGACAAATCTACGCTTGTGAAACGATCAATTAAACTTTCATCTCCATCAACGGAGACCAGTGTTCTTTTGTTATTTGAAACACGGAATCACTTATCTTGGACCTAACTATTGAACTTTTCAGTTGGGCAAAAACTAATCTCTTATGTCTATAG